AGATCTGGGAAATATTCCTTTGGACGTTCGTCTTTCATTACTCTGAGTTTTTCTATGAAAGTCGAGTGAAACCTTTCAATAGGGCTATTGGAATTTGGATTGTTTACTGTGATGAAATGTAGCTCAATTTTATGAAGACTCATGAATTCCTTGAAGAGATTATTAGAAAATTCTGTGCCTTCGTCACATACAATTTTCCTCGGATAGTTGTGGTGCGAAAAATAGTGACGTAATTTACTCAATATTGTGACTGTCGTTTTATCTGAAATATGGTAGACTTGAGCGTATTTAGAAAATGAATCAATAATAGTCAGAAAACATTCTTTATAACAGGAAAATGTATCTATGTGTAGAATATCGAGTGGTTTTTGACCTAGAAGAGAACCTTTCAAAGGAAGTTTGTATGGATGCCTTTCATACTTATTGCGAAGACAGATATCACACTGATTAATAAAATTTGATACAGTACATCGCATATTTGGCCAGTAATATTTAAGTTTTAACTGATTGATGGTTTCGACAATGCCGTTATGATTATTTTTGTGATAATTTTGAACACATTGAACTTGAGCTTCAAGATCGTCTATGTCTTGAACACGCTTGGAACAAAAGAAAATTTGGATGGTGTCATTGTAGGCATTTCGAACATACTCAGCGATATATTTTTGGATGTCGGTATTGTCTGTAAGAATATAATAACGTTGATTTGGGGCAATTATGTCGTGAAGTGCTGTTTTTACGCCGTCTTTCCAATTTGCCTGGACAAGGGTGACCAAATGTTGATGTTTAGACTTGAATTTCAATGAATACCTGATAGAATGTTTGTCTCCAATTTTTATTATAATTTGGTTAGTGAAGTAATTTATAGGCTCTTCAGAAAATGGGACAGTAGCAACAGGATGTTCAACTGATGAATGTTGGGTAGATTGGCCAGTTTCTTTATTAAAGCATTGATTCACAAATTCGTCAAGATCAAATATTTCATCGTCCGAAGACTCTGAAGGGGGATTAGCAATCACGGATTCAGTTTCATGCATATTAATTTCTATGCGGGATAGGGCATCAGCTACAACATTCTCCTTGCCTTTTTTATATTTTACGTCAAAATTATAATCTTCCAGTTTGAGTCTCCAACGAACTAAACGAGAGTGAGGTTCTTTAATTTTCTCTAACCAAACGATGGGATTATGGTCAGTTTCGACAGTAAATTTAACACCATACAGATGAGGGCGGAAATGTTTGCACGAATCTAAAATCGCTAAGAGCTCTCTTTCAATGGTCGAATAGTTTCTTTCAGCAGTATTAAGAGTACGAGAGTAGTAAGCAACGGGTTTTCCATCTTGAGATAGAACTGAACCTATGGAAACACCTGAAGCATCTGTGGTAAGAGTGAACGGTTTTGAAAAATCTGGGTATTGGAGTATGGGGGAGTTGCTAATTGCGGATTTGCACTTTTCGAAAGCTTCTATGTACAACGGATTGGTTATGTCAATTTTTTCTCCTTTTCGTGTACAACGTGTCATAGGAGCGACTATTTTGGAGAAATTGTGAATGAAGCGTCGGTAGTAGCCGACTAAGCCAAGAAAGCTTTGAATTTCTTTTCGTGATTTGGGAATGGGATAATTTTGAACTGCATGGATCTTACTAGGATTGGGCTTTATACCCTCTGGGGTCACTATGTGGCCAAGGAATGCAACTTCTTTGCACAGGAACTCTGACTTGTCAAGCTGTATTTTTAGATTTGTGTCACGGAATTTTTGAAAGACTTGTTTGATGTGTATGAGATGTTCTTGAAGGGACCTAGAAAATATGATGACATCGTCCATGTAAACAAAACATGATTTATAGAGGTGGTCTCGGAGAACTTCATCCATCATCCTTTGGAAGGTCATAGGAGCATTACGGACCCCCATAGGCATCTTCAAATACTCAAAATGTCCATTTGGGACAGTGAAAGCGGTCTTGTCCACAGAATCTGGATGGACCTGTATCTGATGGAAACCTTGGGCTAGGTCAAGAATTGTGAAATAGGTACACCTGCCAAGATTATCCAGAATTTCATCTATCGTAAGAATTGGATATTTCTCTTCCACTGTATTGTCATTGAGCTTCCGATAATCGATTACCATGCGAAACTTTTCTTTCCGGATGCGTCTGCTTTTTTGGGAACAATCCAGACTGGAAACGGAGAATTTTTTCTTTTTCTTCAGAGTTCAAGTGTTGAGTTCGAATCATACTACTATTGAAAGAGGTACTAGAAGACTGCTTAGGAAGTTCTTCCTCAAATTCTGAGAGATATGTGGCAGAGACAGTTTGAGAAAAATCAATTTCCAAATTTTCTGGCTTAGGAATATCGATATAACCATCTTTAGCATAATGTATAGATTCTGGTAAGATAACCTGACCTTCATGGATGATTTCCGGGACAACTACTTCACCATTGTTGACGGATACAGGAATAGATAACCGATTATTTGTACGATAGATTATTTTAAAAGGAATTTCGATACCTAGTTTACGGACAGAAAATATGTGAGACTTCATAGTCAATGTTTGCACCCAATTGATCAAGTTCACCAGTTCCGAGAAGAATATCAAAATCATCATGCCAGTCTGCAATTTTGACTATAAGAGGTGTATGAATACCTATTTCATTTAGTACAGGGTAATATAAATTTCGAGTATACGTTTTCGGAGTTTTCATGGAGATAAGAGTGAAGGGCTCATAGAATTCATGTTCAGGGTCATAAATTTTAGCAGCTCTTGGGGTAATAACTGTATCTGATCCACCGGAGTCGATCAAAATTTTCAAATTGGAATGGGGTAGGTAGAAATAGGGTAGCTTGGTGTGTTTTGAAAAGTTATTTAATTGGATGGTTCGATATCGGGCGGTTCCTGAATGGCAGGCCCTTGAAAATTTTCGGAATAGGCTTGTTGGTCTTTATATGTGTCATAATATTCGTGATTACAACATTTGTCAGAATATGTGACGGAATTTGGGTCACACTCTACATTATGATGAAAAGTACGACTATTATGAGTGGAGGTGGACATCGGAGTTGGTTTACGACTAGTAGTCTGCGTTACTGACATAGGACTGGGCTTGTATTGATTATTCGGTACATTATTTGGACGAGAAGGACCGAATACTTCTCTGTTAGTAGGAGGATTTTGACGTTGAGGTATGGGCCGATTTATATCACCAAATGTTCTGTTAGGTGTGAACGATTGGAAGCGGGGCTGTTGAAAAAAATGTTGGGTACCATTAGATGGATTCTGTTGAATCGAAGACTGAAAATTGGGTAATGCATTTCGATTACTCGGTTGAGTGATAGCGTGGGCATTACGTTGAATGGGACGTGGTGGTGGCTTTTGATACTCATTGGGGTAGGTAGAGGATTTCAGATACGACATATATTGCTGTTGTTGCTTATGGTTATCTAAAGAAATACATTTCTGAAGAGCTTCGTCTAACGAAGATAAATCGTAATGAGATAGGTGGTTGCAATATGGATTATTTATACCAGTACAGAAGGTTCTAAGTGCTTGATTTCTAAAGAATGAAGCTTTAAACTCAACTGCCTGTGGATTACTTTCATGAAGTGAAACATGCTGAAGAATATCATTTAATGCTAGTGTTACTCGGTGGTGATATTAATGATACGATTCGGATCGTTTTTGGACTGTGGTTGTGAGTTGGGTTAATAAAATTTCCTCGGTGCGATGATCACCATATTTCTGCAATAAAAGTAGCTTTATCTCAGCCCACTGAGTTTGATTGTGAAGATTTAAAAAATCACGAGCCTCGCCTTTTACCTTAGACAATATATTAGCATTTATGATGTAGGTTTGGATAGCATCCGCACCTTGTTGAGAAAAAAAAATTACCAAATTATCTACAGAGTTGATAAAAGTAGATAGATTTTCACCCACTTTGTATTCTGGCAAGGTATTACACAGATTATTGATATCCGAATTTGAGAGAACCATGTTTGGGTTTTCTGTAGTAGTTTCCTAAGGCAGAGGGTACTTAATTGTTCGGTAGAAATATTTTCGAGAGAGGAGTAGAATATGGCTTAAATCTAGACTTTTCTTTTGAAATTCTTCGAGTACTAGGTGAAATAACAGCTTGTAAAGAATCCTGTGGATACTCGGAACTCATAGGAAAAATGGAATGCCTTACATAAGGGTCAGACGAATCAGAAGGATTTTCATCTCCAGTACGGTCTCCGGTTACCGTATCCGGTTGGATACATAACTCGCGCGTGCGCATGCGCATGTGCATGGGGCTCGTTCTGGTTGGTGCTGGCGCGGGCGTACTACGGGGGGGTGTAGATAGCGTTTGTGGCGTTCGTGGTAGGTGATGCGCGGGTAAGTTTGCGTTGTGTACTTTGGAGGGGCGGGGGTGGGTGGTAACAAATAATGGAAATAATCAAGCTCAACAACTATATAATATGTTATGTAATTTTAATAGTCAGTATCGCTTGTTTTTTTTATTAGGAAGAGGTACATAGTCATACATCCTTCAATTGAAAACTATCGAGTTATATTTTTCAACAGAATAGATAGGTAAACACGTCTATGCGTAAGTGATGTGACTCACTTCATGTTTTGCAGTAAATATTTGCATATAGATCGATAAAAGCCGATGAATAATGGTAATTATAGATGCAATTCTGCGGATTCAGTTGAAATGGAAAAAACCTTCGTATTACAAAATTCGCGGAAACGATGCATATAGGATGATTTCAATAGTCAACACGTCATAGGCGTACTACGGGTGTGTAGATAGCGTTTGTGGCGTTCGTGGTAGGTGATGCGCGGGTAAGTTTGCGTTGTGAACTTTGGGGTAGGGATATTTTTCAACATAATAGATAGGAAAGCACGTCTATGCGTTAAGTGGTGTGGCTCATTTCATGTTTTGCGGTAAATATTTTGGGATAGGGGTAAGAATAAGCGATACGCTGTAAAGAGTTTATCTATCTTTATTTTGAGGTACGTTATGCATAACCAAAACATTGTACATCTTGTTTTGCTATTCTGGGAAACTTTTTCTTAAATTCTTCCACTGTATACTCTTGATCTCGATACTCTAGTTTTCCTCCATGACCGACTAGCTTGTGCAGTCCATATCTACCGCAATGTAATAAGTTGTCTTTCATCGTCATTATAGGATAATAATGTAAGTGATGTCCGATCACATACCCTATAGTTCGGTTGTCTTCGTTTTTAATCTCTGTACCAAATGGCAAGCCACCTGGCGTGCCATCGTAATAGAACGCTGGGTATTCTTGTAGCACGATCTTGTCGTGCTGATAGATTTCGTATATGTAAAATGTTCCATCTTCTTGAAACTGGAACAGTGAAGTCGAGAACTTTTATTACTCTTTGATTATTAGTGTGTGACGTCATTATTGTATTAAGGTAAATGTTCACTGTTCAGTGGTTGATTGATGATTGCAAAGATTACATTGTATGTAGATATATATATAGTACTCAGTAATCTGAAGATATTTTCAGACGCTTAATCATTTTGGATGCAAATTTCTCACATTCCTCCAGTCTCTTAATTTTTTGTAACTGAGTACGTTCTTTTTGTTTCAGCGTTTGAAGTCTTTTACGTTCCTTGTTTAATTTTCTTGAAATTTCGGTGAATTTCTTTTCGCATAGCCTGTTGACTTTTCGTAGATAACCTCCAATTATGCGCAGTTCATCGTTGTTCACATGTTTTTTGTGAGTCAGAATAACCGTATCATCTGTAGGACTGCTTTGCTCTTCAATATAATTGTTTACCAACTGTCGTATATCCTTCCCAGCATTACGATTTGCAGGAGCTGTTGACGATACATCAATGGTGGCTGAATTATTAAAAATATCATTTCCGATTAAGAATTCATCCATATCAAAACTATCCGCCTACAAAAAAAAATGTATAGATCAGCTAATGTATATGTTTATATAACCAGGATAATATAACGTACTGAATGTACATAATTATGTGTCAATTCCAGATTTTGTGCAGAATTTTCTTCCATGGTAACTAGTTGATGCGAACACAGCGTGGCTACGACTGAACATAACTATCTAATAAGGAAAGTGAACTACTAGGAATTTGTTAACGTATGTCATGTGACTTTCGAAGTATGAGTGTTTTATGATATATGTGTCATATATAAATGATAATATACACCTATACAATACAGAATAATACTAATCGCACCGCTGCGCTGTTTGAATATGTGTGCTGAAGAATATTCTATAGATTTTAGTGAATACAATTCGTATGATAAACGTATCAGTACATTTGAAAAAGGATGGACTGGAGTCATTAATCCTGCAGTGCTAGCAGCAGCAGGTTTTTTTTATGTTGGAAGTGAAGATATTTGCCAAGCGTTTTGTTGTGGGATAATAATATACAAATGGAAGGATGACGATTGTCCTATTAAGGATCATCTAAAATTCTCAAAAAATTGTGACTAGGCTAAACGAATGCAGAAGCTATTGAATGGAATGGGAAAGAAGACGGACAAGAAATTTGATATAATGCACCATATGATTTTACTTTCAGCTTCATATTTATTAGTTCATTTTGTAAGTTCGATAACATTAACGATTGAATAAAACAATATAATTACCGTAAGACTTTTATTTTGTAAATATATTCAATAGTCACACAATTTGGGTCCTTAATTTGGTACATTGTTACGAATATGAATATTTCTAAAGCTAACAATCATTTTTATTTTTGTTCATACATTTTTTGAGTTCATGTAATTTTCTTAGATAGGCATCTATGGCAGCGGCTGCTGTAGCGTGATTCATCTTGTTGCAAGGATGACTGACAACTATCTTCTCATTAACGCAAGAAGCCACTCGTGAAGTTCAGAACAGTTTCTTAAAGCACACATACATAGTCTCAACCTGTGATGTAGACATCGAGGTTTATTTTTATTGAAGTTCAAGACATCTAGACTGGTCTGGAGTACATCTTCTAAGTTTACGATTTCTGGTTGGAATTCCTCATCACGAAGGGAAGATAACAAAATTAGTTTTTGATGTCCTTTGACGTATACAAAATCAACGTCTGATAAATGCGACTTGATTATATCCTTCAATTGGTGCTGTTCGAAGAATCCAGAGGAATATTTCAAGCCATGATAATTTTTTTCCAACCATCGCACTTACACTTTACCGTTTGTACTTAAGAAACAAAACGGTGACACTGGTTTAAAAATATAGTGAGTTATCTGGTTACCAATCGAAATCGAGACTTCCTTTGGTAAAAACCAGTTGGAAAGTTGAACCCTTGAACATTTACTGCTGCTATTTTCATCGCGTAACCGATTAAGATGATTCTAGTACTAGGCACCACGACTTACTGAGAGCTTCGACTGCTAGTACGTTACATTTAAATTAGTTTGCGAACAATTTCGCTTAGCGGTAAATACTCTATCACAGAATCATGAATTATAATACAGTAAGTTCTAGTATCAGCGGGAAAACCTTCAGCGGATTCAAATTCCAGCTTTACATCAACGGTGGACTAGGCCTGAGACATACGACTCTTTTCCCTAAGCTCGCTCACTGCGTTCATCTCTCTTCAGTGAGTCGTTCGTTCGGAGTCGTTCGTTTGAACGACACGGCCGACACGCTTCCCGACCGACCTCGAATGACGAGTGTTTTCGTGTAATGACTCACGGCTCACTCACTTCTCACATGTTTTGTGCTGTGCTCTGTGCTGCTAGCTGCTACTCTTACCACTTTTGTGATGGTACTCACTCACGGAATGTAACGATATTGTAAAGCATATTATATCATATTATCATATCATGTCTTCAAAAAAAAAAGTGATGTTTGGTCAGCTTTTGAGGAGTTATCGGGTTCTAGAGCAAAATGCAAGTTTTGCTCTCAAATCTTATCATTTAGGGGAGGATGAACATATAATTTGATGAGACATCTTGAAACAAAGCATCCTGGTTCCGTAGACAGTGTATGTAGGAAGGGCGGCCAGAGTTCATCAGTAAGAGATGAAAATCAACTATCAGAAGCCAGTCCATCTAAACCCTCCACCTTTAGTTCCAGTAACCAGCAATCAGGAAACATAACAGCGTTTCATGTAGCAACTAAAACACAACATACTTTGAATATGAATTATTTTTTTTATGAACCTGTGCCAGTGAAAAAGAAAGATGAGATAAACCGGTGTCTGGTCAGAATGATTTCCAAACAATATCTACCATTTCAAATTGTGCAAAGTGAGGATTTTAAGCAGTTTATTGAAGAATTGAACCCTGTCTACTCACTCCCCTGTAGAAAAACTGTATCAAAAGCATTGGTACCTCAATATTATAATAAAACAAGAGAGGAGGAGTTCGATAAAATACAGTCAGCGGAATGTGTTTGCTTAACAGCTGATGCATGGACATCAGCATCAAATGAAAGTTATTTGGCCATCACAGCCCACTATTTACATTCTAATAAGATTAACTCAAACTTATTAGAGTGCTATAATTACACTGAGAGGCATACAGCTGTAAATTTATGTGAAGGACTCAAGAGAATTGCACATGAGAAAATAATTGCCATTGTTTCTGATAATGGGGCAAATATAGTAGCAGCTGTGAAGAAAACTGGCTCGAACCACATTCCTTGTTTTGCACATATAATTAACTTAGTGGTGCAATCATCTTTAGAAAAGATACACAGTTTTAGACAAAAAATAAAAACCATAGTTGATTTTTTTAGGCGTAGCCCACAAGCTACTGAAAAATTAAAACGAATGGAAATTCAACACGGGCTTCCTGAATTAAAAGTGAAGCAAGATGTGGCTACAAGGTGGAATTCCACATTTGACATGTTCAAGCGCATACTAGAAATAAAACAACCATTGATGTCAGTAATTGCAATACATTACAAGAACCTACCAAATTTATCAAACACTGACATGAAAATTTTGGAAATATGTTGTCAGATATTAAAAGTGTTCAAGGAAGTAACAGACGAAATTTCGTCAGAAAAAGAGGTGACTGTTTCAAAAATTATATTGTTTAGCAATTCACTTTCAAATATTGTAGGAAATTTCTGGTGGATAATCCAGAAATTCCAGAAGAGTGTAAACAGCTGACTGAGGCTCTATTATCGTCTTTACAAAAAAGGTTTAGCAATATAGAATTCAACAAAATGTTTGCTGAAGCAACAATTTTGGATCCACGACTTAAAAAATTTGGATTTGATAGTAAAACAGCTTTCGAATGTGCAAAAAAAAATTTAATTAGTTATGTCACCAGGAATACGCCATCATCAAGTGAAGTCACCAAGAGAAATGATGAGCAGATTCAAACAGATGGAGTTGAATTAACCAAAAAAACTACAAAATCAGCTATATGGGAATCTTTTGATTGGGCTATTGCTAATGTGGTGTCTAGTGTTAATCCTTTAACAGCTGGAATTATAGAAGTAGAAAAATATCTAGATGAGCCATTATTGCAGAGAGATTGTGACCCATTCATGTGGTGGGAACAAAGGAAACATGTATATCCCAGACTATATGTGCTTATGAAAAGTAGGTTAAGCATAGTAGCTACTTCAGTCCCCAGTGAAAGGATATTTTCTAAAGCTGGTCAAACTCTTACAGAAAAAAGGAGCAGTCGTCAAGGACAAAAAGTTTCCATGTTACTCTTTTGGAATTCCAATTTGTGATGATTATTTTTATACTTCAAATGCATACCAAAGATGTGATTAAGTTTTTGTTTAATATATTTCTACAACTTGTTTATTGAAATATGTAAATTATTTTTTGTGAAAAAGTCATATTTTTAGTTTCATTTATTTATTAAAATAATGTTCCTAAGTCATTACTTTCTGTGAATAAGTTTTTATGTTTGGTACATTTATTTTTTTTTTTTATCTGTTTGATAGGTTATTTTATTGCAAGCATTCAGGCTGTGATTAAGTTTCTGTTTGATGTATGTTTTATTTTGTTTTTTATGAATTGATATTCAAGTTTAATAAAATATGGTTCCTAATTACAGTTTGTTTTTTGTAAATATATTATGTTGCAGGTATATTTTCAATATTCCTTATATTTCATTAAATTTATTTTTCTCTATTTTTTTCTTTACTAATTATCAATATGGCAGCTAAAGGGTATAAGTACTTTAAAGATCCTATCCAAAATTTTAATATAAATTATCTCTATGACATGGACATGAAAAAGCTCAAAACTAAAAATTTTAACTTGTTCAAGTCACTGTTAAGTGAAAGATTTAACTTACCTTTTAAATTTATAAACCGTTAGTAAAACTGAATAAATATTTCACTTACATTTTTTAACACTCCCATTAAATTGACTTGACTCTTAACTTACACAAAAATGTATTATTATAAAAATTATAAAACATTCAAAGATTCAAATTTCATTCAAAATTGTCACCATTGACAACTGACATTGTCGAAGAGTCGTTCATTTTGAACGACTCGTTCGCGAACGACACACGACTACGGTGGATGACTTTAAATCTTCGCTTCGCTTGGAACAATCAATAACAAATATAGCATGAGTTTTGAATGTAGAATAGTCAAGTAATCCGTGTTTATCGTTATCATTTGAATACGTTTTGGCAAATTGCGAATACATATGATGAGTTTCCATATATTTTATTTTTAAAATCTAACTTCATATCTTCATGAGGATAATAGTCCGAATTAATCATTAACTTTATAGTATGGTTGTAAGATTTGCGTTATCTAATATGTGCTTATCCGCTTTTGCAACATCTTTTCTGGCTGTTTGAAAGGCAACAATAACAAATCTTGGAACTTCTATTGCCGAACTTGTCTTTACTGACCATATTTTTTCGTGGCATTATGAGGTAAGGACGGTAATTCATGTATTGACCACTTTCTATAACCCATAAGTATAGAAGTATCATTCTTTATCTTTTTAAGTACATCCAATTTTAGTGCATCATTTAGAAATATGTGTTTAACTTTAAGTTCAAT